GACAGCTGAAACCCTCTCAGCGGACGAGACCGTGACAGCTAAAATCCTCCCAGCAGACCAAACGGGAACAGCTGCAACCCTGTCAGCATTGCGGACCAGACCGTGACGACCAGACCGCGATAGGATAGCTCAAGTTATCTCAGCGGATCAGACGGCAACAGCTGAAAGTTTCCAAACCAATGCGTGCATGTCCATATCAGGCAACATCTTGTAAATCACGAATGGTAATTAATTGGGCTTAAAATTCCTTTATGACTTTATATGGCCAACATTCCATTCCAAGGATGACAAAATCTGGCCCAGAATCTTGTAAAAACCTGCTTGGGGGGTCAGGTGAATTGAGTAGATATATTCATCACCCCACAATAAGTCAATGTAAGAAGCCCATTGCTAACCAACTCACGAAATCTTCCTGACTCTTCAAGTATCCGCCACCCTCCTTGGTGCTGTCTCAAATTTACGGGACCATCTTTATGAGAACTCATGCGTGTGTGATGGAAAATCCTTTCCTGTTGTGCAGATGTCCCCAGCCCTCACATGAGCCAAAGCAAGACGTAGACTTGATTCGTATGCCCTGTAAACCCCAGCCCCCTTGAACTTTTCGTCTTGAACCCGGCCTGGTGCTGCCGGTCCCCAAGAATTCCTCTCTTGCACTCCTGAAATTACAGAAAAGTAGTAATGCTAAGAATGAAGATGACAATCTTACAATTATCACTATTACTATTGCAATTATCGTAACCTCATCATTCGTGGCCTTTGGGGTCTGGTTGTCGGTGCGCCTGGTCTGCAGCAAGGGGGTGGCCCAGCTGGGCGCAGTGGGCCCGTATCTGATGCGTGCGCCCTGCTGGGGCTCAGCTGGTAGGAGCTTCAGGTTCAGCTAACATATAGTCAATATAGTCATCCTTAAGTAAGTAGGATATTCACCTATTCTCCCCCTGTAATGGAGAATCAAAAGGAAAAGGAAATGGACAATTGAAATGGAAACTAGGGGAGTATAGGACCCCTTAAGTAGATAGAATATGGCTTTGGGTACGTTATAACCAGATCCTTAAGGGGATCTATAACCAATGTCCCCAATAAGAAGAGCTTCATACCAAATATTTTGGTGTCTTTGTCTGGACTGGGCTTAAGGGCTTCGGGATTCACAGTTGATCAGTTGGTTGTTGGGTGAATTGGTTGGGTGGTTCAGGGGTTCAGGGTGTTGGAGTTAGAGTAGCACATTTATCACTATGCACATAAAACAACCTGTGAACTGCTGTGAAGTCCTACAACCAGTTGGTGACCATGAAGTTGTAAATCTTTGGGTTGCGCACTGATAATTGAAAACCCTAAACCTGGCTGTTGTGAGATGACCCCTTGCAAATGCAAGAACAGCATGAGGCCCGTTATGTTACGACTATGTAAGGGACAATCCCTAATTAGGGTCCAAGGACCCAAATAATAGGGTTTAAGGGCCCAAATACTATAATGTTCATGGTATTTGGGCTGGAACATAGGCAATGGCTTTCAATGGACATTTTGGGAACTCTTATTTCTAGCAAGTGACCTGAAGGGTCTGAATGTCGTAGGGAGCCGAGAATGATAGGCCATTGACAATTGCAACAGCAAATCTAAGCCGCAGAATCACCGCCATCTCCAAAACTCAACATTCCCTATAATAGATTTGGTATATTGGAGGATAACTTTACCTTTCAAGGGGGGAAGGTAGTTTCCCTCTGCTAAACCGCAAAGCCTTGTTAGAAGAATGTTAAGTCGATGCATCTTGGGGGGATTAAGGGGTTTGGGGATGCCTTCCCTCATTCCCTACGAAGCACGAGCTTTGCTTCCGTGTCGGGCTACTATGGAAAATCTTAGCTTTATATGCTTCTTATGGGAATGTAGTATTAAAGCCGATAAACGCAAGAGGATGACCTAACGTCTTTCTTTTACACCAGTCCAACGCTGCCACACCTAGCGAATACCCGAGGAGCAAGGCACTTCTCAGGCGTTGGCCCGTGTGGAGCCGCAGCACCAACAGGCTCCATTCCTGCAGAAGTCAATTGTTTCTGCTGTTTTCTTAACGCACGCTAAGCATTGATGGGCATGTACGACTAGCGGCTACGGCATACTTTCTGCTTCGGTGATGCAGTGGTAAAGCTGCAACAGAAACCAAAGGACAGGCGCTATGGCTGTCATATAATTACCCTCACCACATCAGGGCGCAAGTGCGCAAAACTGCTTAGGGTCCGCTCAATCGGAAATGGCTGGAAAAAACTTGCAAGCTTCACTGCCCTCGTTGCAACATGCTGGTTTCGGGTTTAAGTCCCCCCCCTCCAAGTTCAAGCGTACATCCATCTGCTTTTTGAAGCTATCCTCAACGCTAAGCCGAACAAGCTAAAATATTCAGCAAGCTTTTTTTGTCCTAACCTGTCTGAAGCTGCTGACCGGTCCACCAAGGCTTTAGACTTCAGGGCTGCGACTTAGGTTCAGGTCTTGGGGGGTAGGACATGGGGTGTGCGATTTAGAAGTCGATGGTTTAGAGTACTAATTTTGAATTGCCTCCACTATCACGCACAACCATCTTGGAATTTCTCAGAAATACAGGTGGGTGATAGGGAACCGGAGCATAGTCAGCATGTTGAGGGTATGGGCAGCGTTTGAGATATTGACACTTGAAACATGCTGATACCACCTCTGAAGCACGTAACATCGTTGTTTTCAAGCCGAACTTTGGTGTATGCGGATGTGTGTTGTTGTTGGCCTGGTGCTGTATGTTGTGTGCTGTGTTTTGTAAACGGTTCTGACGTTGCCCCGGCCTTATGTGCCACACCTGGCAACGCTATGAATTTTAATTTTGGTTGTAATGGTTTAGGAGGGGTTTAAGATGCAGTAAGAGAACAGAACCCGTGAACCACCCAAGAGGCTTGTGGATGCAGGTTGAGCACAGTCCAGAAGGGCACGAGGATGCAATGTAGTGGACGACCTCTGTCTCCTCGCAGCGGAAGAAAAGAACGTATAATCCTATAGTCCCCCTTACGTAGATAGAATATGGTTTTGGGTATATTATAGTAAGATCCCCATATTCCCCATATTCTATCTACTTAAGGGGACTATATAACCAAAACTCGAAACCGTAAATCCCAAACCGCTACGAGCCGAAACTCCCGTCTAAGTGAAGACAGGAGGGGATGGGATTACCCTAAGGGTCCGACTGCGCAATAGAATCCTATTCTTTCCGAGAACCCTACCTACAATGGTTATCATAAACTAAGTACATACACTACTGTTGATACTAAGAATCCTGCATGACCTTAATATACTAGAGTACCATTATTCCCAAGGTAATGAGGTACCTAAGGTCAGGCAGGATTTTTAGTATCCGCCGTATTGGGCACCTGGGCCCTAAGGGTGAGGGGAGAGGGTTTAGGATCGGTCTGGAAACGAAAGCACTCGAAAGCATGGTGGCACTTTTGCCTTTGCGCCTTGTGTGCACAGTTTGGAGGACGATCTGTCAAGCTGTGCTCGACTGTTGGGTGGGGGGGAAGTTACCGAAACTTGCCAAAACTGCCCTGATGCAGGTCCCCTGGACAGCTGCTACAACCCTTCTTCCTAAACCCTACACTCAGACAAATCCTCATGACACCCCGGCGACTCCTATGCAGCTCCTCTTTCTCCGTAGCAACTGCACTTATTGTGGCTGACCTGTAAGCATGACATGACACTTCTTCGCAATAGTAACATTGCTACTGTAACACACAAAGGACCTAGACCCTCCTTTTATGTCTATTATAAACACTCACTGTTAATTAGGAATCCTTCACCCCTATTTGAAGGGTATAAAGAGGCTCCTCGGACTTTTCCCGAGCAGGCGCACTTCTCTTGCTTTTGCCTAAGGGGGATCGTGTGAGACGCCATCCAGCCAGAAGCCCAGACCCCAGATTGGATCTGCAAAAAGACTTCCCCTTTGAACCCATGACTAATTCTGTATCCCTGACCAGAAGCTATAAACCCTAAGCCCTATTGTCCACCCAGGAACCCCTTTAAAGGGTCTGGGAAGGCCATGAGGTTTTGGCTTTGCCAACAAAAACCCTCCGCTCCAAAGCTGGGAGGCTTCATGTCGGACAGATGCCCTATGGCTCCGCCCCAGGGACGCCATCAAACGTAGGAATCCAGTAGGAGTCCCAGTGGTCGGCCTGATTCAAGGTGTAGGGTTTAGGGGTTTAGGGGTGTAGGTTTTAGGGGTTTGGGGGTTTTAGGGGTTTAGGGTTTAGGGGTTTAGGGTTTAGGGGTTTAGGGTTTAAGGTTTAGGGGTGATTTTGGGTTTGCGGCCTGATCGCATTTCTCAAACTTGCTGGTATCGTGGAAGCTCTTGAAGTGGACCTTATTGTCTTGTTGTCCACTACGAAGCCTGGATTGCTCACTAGTACCTTGCTAAAAGCTATTTGTTCCTACTCCTAGTATCAAAAAAAGGCAATCCTAAAGTGATGAATATGTAAACTGTCAGTAAAGTTCAACCAAGAGGCAATTCCAGCCCTTGGCAGCCGCCATCTGTTTCATGGCCTCTACAAGAGTATCATCGAGTGGCCCCGAGCAGGCTATGTTGAAAACATCACCTTGACCTCGTGCGACGCCCACACCTGGCAGGTACGTCCAGGGAACTGGATACTCAACGTATGAATCCCAATGGCCCCCATCGACTTTCTCAAATTGCTCAGCATCGGGAAGACTTTTGAAGTAGACCGTATTGTTCTTGTTGTCGACCACGAAGCAATTCCAGCCCTTGGCAGCCGCGATCTGTTTCATGGCCTCCCTAAGAGTATCATCGATTGGCCCGGAGCATGTCATGTGAAAAACATCCCCTTGATTGCGCCCCATGCCAACGCCTGGCAGATGCGTCCAGCGTACGTTGGAGGTTCTGCTGGTGGACGGCCCCTTGGGGGCTTCACTGGTGGGTTCCTTGGAGGGGTCTTTGGGGATTCTTTGGAGGCTTCTTTGGAGAGTTCGTCGGACAACTTGGTGTGGGACCGATAGTCTACATACGAATCCCAATGGCCACTCTCGCTTCTCTCGAACTGGCTGGCATCCGGGAGGCTCTTGAAGAAGACATTGTTATTCTTATTGTTCACCACGAAGCAATTCCAGCTCTTGGCAGCCGCGATCTGTTTCATGGCTTCTCTGAGAATATCATCGAGTTCCCCCGAGCACGCAATTCGAAAAACATCTCCTTGATCCCGCCCCATGCCCACACTTGGCACATGCGTCCAGTGCCTGCCCTCCTCAGGGCGCCCAGCTCCACTACCCATCTGTCAATTCAAAGATAGACAGAAGAGCGATTGAGGCTCGCTTTCGCAAACGTGTGGGCAGCGACTTGAGCCAGGAACAGCTTCCCAGACCCCCTACAGGATCCAAAAAATGGAACTCCCTAATAATCCCCTAGGTTCCCCAATGTAGTACTGGGCTCATATTGGGGGGGTTCCAATTTTTGGATCCTTTAGGGCGACTGGCTTCCCGTGCACTCTTCTCAACATGCGGCTCTCGCATGAAAAGCACAGTTGACTTGGCTTGACTGGTGGAGAAGCAGCTTAAAGACTTGCACACACACCCACTATATTGCTCTATACATGCCTTTCATTTGTATACATATATAGATATATACACACGCCCGATACTATATACCCTATATACCTGTATCCTATATATGCAGCCCATATACCCTATAGATACCCTATATACCCTATATAATCTACACATGCATCTCCGGTCCTTGCTGCGGATGGTGCAGATGTCATCGCCGTAGTTGTAGCGGACGAGGGGGATGGTCCAAGCAAGGGTTTGAGCTTGGGAGGGTTTAGGGCTTAGGGGCCTACAACAAGGGGCTCCCCTCGTCACTGTCATAACGGTAGCTCAAAGGCTAGTTCTAAGGGCCTTAAGTTGGGATTCCAAGTAGGAAAAAATGGCTTATAAGTCCTGAAGGGGCCAGTTGTTGTAACCGATATCCCTGCAGGGTTTAGCTCTCATGCTCCGCGCTGACTGCTGCGCATTGTCCAGGTCTGTGCTGCGTTTAGGATTTGAGCGTTGTCTCCTCTGTACACCATCTGGAGATACCTTGGGGATTACCATAAACCATAAAGAGGTTCATATTCCGTATGCTACATCGGGATTATGATATTAGGTTCTACTCGGTCCCAATGTTATATAGCCTCATTGAGCCTTTAAGGTAGCTGTGGCAGACCATGAAGATATGTTGGAGCCCAAAAAGCTAAATACCCTTTGGTTTTAAGGAATGTACCTTAAATCATACTGGGGATCCCTATGCAACCCTAGAGGTCCATTCAATCCCCGGTAATCTACCGAAACAAACAAAAAAGATTCGGTCCCCCGCCCGAACCACAATGAAGGATGCTTTCATACGAAAGAGAGAAAGCTCTGCAGAGCTGCACTTTAAGTCAGAAGAGCCTTGCTTGAAGCGCTGCTTATCATCTGGTTGAGCCCAGTGGCTTCTCTCAGTCACACGGGCTTCTAGCCCCCTTTAAGGAGTTCAGGCTCGTTTGGCCTATGGATGTGGACTTACGGGGAAAAAGGTCTCCTCAGCGCCCAGATGGGGCCAGAGAAAGCTGGAGCTCCTTACATGCTTTAGATAGTATTCCCTAAGGGTCCAAGGACTCAAATGGGCCCAAATACTATAATATTCATGATATTTGGGCCCTAAACCCCTATTATTTGGGTGCCTGAACCCTTAGGAATTGAAACCCTCGGCACCAGTCCACCCAAAATCCCTATAATCTCCCCTTGGCCCTTGCCGCTAAACCCTGAACCCCTAAACCCTAAACCTCCTTTGGCCCCTTTTTTCCAACAGGCTTTGGCCCCTAAACCCTAAACCTACTTGCCCCAAACGTCCCTAAATTAATCCCCCTTGCTTCTGGAGCCTGCCCCAATGCATCTTTGAGGTGCGCCACGCGCTGCACCTGGCAAACCTAATTTGTTCCTTTCACAGAGGGGCTTCGGGTGACATAGGACGATCTACGACTTGTCCCAGGAAGCCACTAAGTCCTGGAACTACGTTACAAGGCAGCAACATGAGTTCGTGCTCAGCAGGAAGTCTGGGGCTTGTAGTCCAGCAAGAGGCCGAGGGTGCATCCGATTGCGGAGAGAGTCAGAGGGCAGAAGGTCCACTTTACGTGTCCAGCATGGCGGAGAAAATGTATTGAACTTAAAACATCAGAAAATTGCTGGCGGAGAGCCTGTGCTAGGAGTCTAGTGGGGGAGGGGGGGTTGCCATTGCCTTAGCCAGTTCATTGTCAGTTCGCGTGGCAAACTTTTGTCCAGCCGCAGTCATAAGGAGTATAGCAATTTAAGGAAACGACCATGCAAGTTCCATGGTTAGCGTGTATTGTAAGCCATTGTTACCATACGGATCTATGGGGGTACTATCTCGACATCCATTTCGTCACTACCTACTAAGAGGAGGCATCCCCCGACTGAAGGTACCTCAAAAATCCTAAATCCTGAACCCTAAACCCTACACACAAAAAAGAAAACAGCTGTGAACAATCACCTCGTAGGCCTGGGCTGGTGTAGGAATGTTCTCATGTATGTTCATGATATCCTCAACTTTGCCAGCACAAGAAGAAGATGCAAGTCCCCACTTGAAGGGGCCGCAGCTTCAAAAACATGGAAGCAATGTACAGGCCTTCAAAAAAGAAACTCGTCTCACCAATGTTGCGACTACTTGAAATCTATCTCATGGGCCCGGAGTTTAGTTTTTTCAAGCTTAGGGTTTAGGTTTTAGGGTTTCAATGCAGGGAACCACCAGCAATTTCTAGAAATCTCATGGGGCACAGCAAGCAGGAAAAGACCACGGCTTAACGGATTTTATGGCAACACCTTTTATTTAGGCACTCAGCTCAGGGTTTCTGGGTAAGTTTCAATCACCCACACGACACGCTGACTTCCTACTATGTCTACAAAGACCCTCCTCCTCTATTGGTTATTGACGTTGGCCTCCTGCTGCAGCTATAAGGAGGCTCCTAGGCAAGCCTCACTAGCTGGCGCTGAGCTTGTGAAGTACCTTATGGAACGTGCCAAAGCCCGTGAATGGAATATCCGCCATCATAGACATCACACCTCTTCATGTGTAGTACTACTCACATATTCTGGCACTATAGCGTCGTGGACAAGATGCCGCTGCTAGGCGCCTCGGTTTTTGCATGCTGGCCCGCTTCGTCGACCAGGCTCCGGAAACTGCCTGCACGAGGCGCCATCGCGGCAGTCTAGGTATGAAGACCCCCCCCCCGGTACCCTTAATTAATTTGTCCAGTCTTATAGGGTCCCTAGCCATCAACTCAAGCAGGCTTTGGCAGTTTGATAGTGTAGCTACGAGCACACCAGAGATGAGCAAGGAAGGGCCCGTCCCCCAGCTCTCTCCGGAAAGATGTTGAACAAGGGTTTGTACATGCATCCTTTGCGGCACGGTAGCGCATGATGGCCATGTTCGACTCAAAGACATTAAGTAGAAAGATTCCACGACATCTTCGATCTGGTGCTACTCCTCGGGCCCCTCTTGCTGTGAAAAACTATGCGCAAGAGTCTTGAAATGTCACGTCCATGCTGCCCACCTGGGGACACTTCGACTGTAAGCAGTGGGAAAGTCATCATTCTCTGGTCCTGCAAGGTGATGCGGTTTCGGGCTCCGGAGGAAACACATGGGGGTGGTTTGGATTTACGCCCAGAGCTTTGCAAGATCTGCCATGGTATGTGACCTTTTTTCATGTTCAGTCACGAGCTGGATGATGGTAAGATCACTGGTGGAAGTCCTTTGGAAAGTAGCCTTCGCAGAGTGCCACATAGCGCTTTGTGACCTGTGTCTCTGCTAGTGATTTGGCTTGTGGGGAGACGGTTTGGACTTGCACGTTTGATTACACATTTTAGGGTTTAGAACTACTCCAGTGCAGCACCACTTGTTCATTTCAGTTCCAGACCGATGTGGGTAGCAGATTTACTATCTAGCTAGATGTATGGGTGTTGAATACTGACATAATAAGGCCCTTACTAAGGAGACGAACTGATAGGTCACCGCGGGGAAGCTGGACTATGGAGATGCTGGTTTCTGGAGCCTGTATCCTCCACCACAATAGAATGGATCTCATACCCCAAGACTCCGAATTGCCCAATCCAAATAGGGAAGAGTTTAGGGCTTAGGGTTCAGGGATCCAAATAGTTTAGTATGTTTCATATACATAGACTTTGGACCCAATGTAGGCATGATTCATAGACTTGGAGCCCTATAATATAACCCCTACGTAACCTCAGTTTCCATTTGATTTTCCATTTTCTTTTCCATTTGATTATCCATTCTTGGAGCCCTAGGGGTATTCTTCGAAGAAGCCCAAAGCTCCCTTGCACCCGGCCGCGAGAAGCGGTGCACAGGGGCAGATCGACCCACCATCCACACTCAGCCGAAACTGAATCCAGTCACCAGTTCCCAGCAAAGGTGTTTGTCAACAGGGCCCACATGTACTGTAGCCTAGACTCCTTGAAGTGGGGTTCTATAGGGGAGTATTTTAGGGCTTATTAAGGGGGATACTAGGAGTTTAGACGATAGCTCACATGGGTGTCTGAGATGCCAGCCCTGCGAGCGTTGAACTCGAACTTAGCTGCGAAGTAGCCCTGGTAGGTCCTTGACAGCTGAGTTTGTTCAAGGCAAAAATTGTTCAAAGGGCCAAGGGACCTCCACAACGAAACGATCTAGCTTCAAGGGCTTGTTCGCTCAGGGTTCAAGGCCCCAAAAACTGTTGCCAAAAACTCAAGACCACATCTGACTCCTGCTTTCTCATATGGGTGGTTGTCAAAATTATGGTCCCATTTTGGGTACCCTA